GTGGAGTACCTGCTGGATCACTGCGGCGCCCGCGTGGAGGAGGGGGGCTCGGTCAACTTCGATGGGGAGACCATCGAGGGGGCCCCGCCGCTCTGGGCGGCATCTGCTGCCGGGCACCTGGGGGTGGTGCGAAGCCTCCTGGATCACGGCGCGTCGGTGAACCAGACCACGCTGACCAACTCCACGCCGCTGCGGGCTGCTTGCTTTGATGGGCACCTGGAGATCGTGCGCTACTTAGTCGGGGAGCGTGGGGCTGACCTGGAAGTAGCCAACCGGCACGGACACACTTGTCTGATGATTTCTTGCTATAAAGGGCACCGGGAAATTGCACGTTACTTGCTAGAGAAGGGCGCTGATGTCAACCGCCGGAGCGTGAAGGGGAATACGGCCCTACATGACTGCGCTGAGTCCGGCAGCCTGGAGATCCTGCAGCTCCTGCTCCGCTCCAAAGCCCGCATGGAGAAAGATGGCTATGGCATGACTCCTCTGCTAGCTGCCAGTGTCACTGGTCACACCAACATTGTGGAGTACCTCATCCAAGGAGGGCTGCAGCAGGAGGAGGCAGAGGTTGCAGGGAACCCAAACGGGACCTGTGCATCTGGTGGGAGCCATCAGAGGTGCTGCAGCGCCGGCAAGGAAGCTTCTCAGGGCTGCGATGAAGAGGGGTGTGAGAGATGTGCCTCAGCTTCCAGTCAGGATGAGCAACAGGCCCCTAATGTGTTCTGCACTCGAGAGGCTGCTGTGGAAGCACTGGAGTTGCTGGGTGCTACGTTTGTGGATAAGAAACGTGACCTTTTGGGAGCCCACAAGTACTGGCGAAGGGCGATGGAGCTTCGGTGTGAGGGCGGGCAATACCTGCCTAAACCTGAGCCCCGGCAGCTGGTGTTGGCCTATGACTATTCCCGGGAAGTCAGTTCATTGGAGGAACTGGAAGCCTTGATTACTGATCCCGATGAGATGCGCATGCAGGCCCTGCTGATCAGAGAGCGCATCCTGGGTCCTTCCCACCCAGACACTTCCTATTACATCCGTTACCGAGGAGCGGTCTACGCTGACTCCGGCAACTTCGAGCGCTGCATTAACCTGTGGAAGTACGCTCTGGACATGCAGCAAGGCAACCTGGAGCCTCTCAGCCCGATGACTGCCAGCAGTTTCCTTTCCTTTGCTGAGCTTTTCTCTTACGTGCTTCAGGACCGCTCCAAAGGCACTTTAGCGACCCACTTGGGCTTCTCTGACCTCATGGGAGTACTGAGCAAAGGGGTCCGGGAGGTGGAGAGGGCGCTCGTGCATGGCAAGGACCCTGTGGTTGACTCAGCGCAGTTCACCAAGACACTGGCCATTATCCTCCACCTGGTCTTCTTGCTGGAGAAGGTGGAGTGCACCCCGGAGCAGGAACACCAGAAGCGCCAGACTATCTACCGCCTGCTCAAGTGCAGCCCCCGGGCCAAGAATGGCTTCACTCCGTTGCATATGGCTGTGGACAAAGATACCACGACTGTGGGACGTTATCCCGTGGGCAAGTTCCCCTCGCTCCACGTTGTGAACTTGCTTCTGGAGTGCGGGGCTGACCCAGACAGCCGTGACTATGACAACAACACCCCGCTGCATGTGGCCGCCCGCAACAACTGCCCGCTGATCATGAGTGCCCTGATGGAGGCTGGAGCCCATATGGATGCCACCAATGCCTTCAAGCAGACTGCTTATGAGCTGCTGGATGAGAAGCTGCTCACCAAGAGCATGATGCAGCCCTTCAACTACATCACCCTCCAGTGCCTTGCTGCTCGCGCCCTGGACAAGCACAAGATTCCCTACAAGGGTTTCATCCCCGAGGAGCTGGAAGCCTTCATTGAACTGCACTAGGGCGGGAGAGCTGAGGTCCCCAGCCTTTCCCGTCACCTCTTTCACCCCGCAGAGGTAGCGCAGCCTGAGACCTCGGGCCATCCTCGCCTCGGTGCCGAAGGCCATCGCTGTGCTGAGACGGGCTGCGAGCTTTGTCCTCATCTGTCACCATCCAGCTGGCGTGGGTTGGGGGAGGAGGAGGCGGCTCGAGAGCTCGTGGCTGTCCCTCGTTGTTGTCATCTTCAGGTACCAGATATCTCCAGTGCGCTGTGTCCAGAGAAGGCCGCAGCCCTTGCCCTTTCCCATGCCAACCGTCTTGTCCTGAGAAGGAAGGAAAATGGAGATTCCCTGGGACCTGCTGCCTCTCCCATTAGTGCTGGATTAACTCAGCGTTAAGCTTCCGAGCAGCTACACATCACACATGTGCTCTAGCCCTTCCCATCCTAAATACTGAACAGATAGGAATGCGAGTGAGGAATAAAATGCCTTCCAACTAATTCTTTCCCTACCCCCTCTCAGATTCGGTGCAGTACGAGTCTAACAGCCGAGGGACTTGTGCTCTGCTGAGGTAGTTGCCTTGTGTGGCAGGAGGGCTGGGTGTGCTGAGGACGGTTTGTTTTCTCCCTTGGTTGGCCAAGTAGCAAGCGGTGTTAAAGGCCTGGGATTTCAATGATGGTGCATAAAGCTGGGTTATTTTTTCTCTTTTAGAGCCAGGCCCTATCTATGCTGCAAGACTTCTTCAATCCTGTAAGATATAGTAAGGTCAGTTCTGGTTATATAGTTTCATCAATAGATGTTGGTTTTTTATGAATGGGGAGGAAATACTGCTACCTTAAAAACAAGGTTCTAACGTGGCGTTCAGGCCCTCAGCTTGCCCGTTGTGCAGACGTTCACACCCTTCCCCACGCAGAGGTCCTTTAGTCAGCAGGGCTGAGCCGTACAGGGTGGATATGGCCAGGTTTCGGAGCCAAACCAGCGCCCTTTGAACCATCTTTGAGGATGTGCTCTTGCAAGCCCTCTAGGATGGGAGGTACTTGGAGCGTGGGTGGTGCTTGGGGGGAGTTATTAAAGCAAGTGAGTGTCGGTGGCATGTTTGCATGAGGGTGGTCTGAAGGAAGAAGCAAGAAATGAAAGTTAAAGGTGCCTTCTTGTTCTTCTGAGGTTTGTTAGTACCAACTGATTGGGCTCTGTTAATTACCCCATTCTGAAAACCTCCATGGAGTGGGTTGTTAGCATCTGGTTTTGGCTTTTGATCCTTTTTGCAACTTTACTGAGGATGGTGCTACTTGAGAGATTGAATTTGGAATCTCATTTGGCTACTGTTTGGGCAAGCTCCTTTCTTTCATCGAGATCTGCACACAGCTTGTTTTTTCTCTTTAAATCCGTAGTCTCAGGGTAGGTATTTGCCTCCATTGGCAGAACTCTCCTTGGTGGTAAACAGCCAGTGTTGGTAAACATGATGCTGTTCCAGCAGTTTATCTTCTTGCAGGGGGAGTGACTGGGCTTTGGCAGCCTGTGGTTCATTTCTTGGCCCTGGGCAGAGTGGAGAGCAGAGATGGGAGGGGAAGCAGCTGCCTCTGAGCTTTGGGAAAGGTCAAGACTGGGAGAGCAGAACCCTGACAAACCACCATGCACTATATGCTACTGAAGCTTCTCTACTTGTATTTATAAGCCAGCGCATCCATATGCCTCAATAATCCAATGCTCTCTGCCCCTTAAAGATATTGTAGATCTGCCATTACATTTTTGCAGTGTTAACTATAACATTTATTTATAAAGCAAGGAGGTTTAACTTTTATTGAGATGTAAAGTGCAGAGTTAGTTTAGCTACATTTTTTTTTTTCCTTTCCTTCTGGCTGAAACCTGAACTAAACTGCAGGAATGGAATTTGTTAATTTGTGAGCTGATAAGCGCTCTTAACTTTAAATAATAAAACAAAAAATGGCTGCTAGAATGCAAGTGCCTTGGACTTCTTGCTGGTAAGCCTTTATTTTCAGCTTGTTTGCTAGGGCTGGTACGCTTGTGGGTATGGAAATACGGGGTGTTTGCAGTCAACGGATGTGATTGTCTCATTTCATCTGAATTTACTCCTGGGAAAAGCTAATCTGTACTGCAGTTGCAAATATTTCCCCTGAAAAAGTGTAACACTGACACCGAGGTGACACCTCTCTATATACTTGGCCTTTTGATGTAAATGAAACAGTGTGAAAGGATGCTGCTCTCTTGACTCAGACATTACCTTACACACAGCCGGGACCGTGGGCACTGCAGGCAGAAAGAGGGATGCAGTGGCTATCATCCACAAAATTTATGTGTTTCAACCTCAGAGCTGTCAGTGGGAGGTCAAAAGCAGGCAGAGGAATTAAAGTTACTGGAGTTAGTTCCACACAAGGATTTGGATTTTCAAAAATCCTCGGCCTTCCCCAGGGAGGATGGGAGCAGATGGATAAAATGTTGGGATGTTTGTCCTTTCACTGAGTGCTCCGTCCTCAAAAATAATTCTTGATGCTTCGGTCAGTGTCGCTGCCTTCATGCTCGGCGCAGCAGTTCAGCAGTGCCTGCAGGTCTGTGGGGTGTGCGTCTCCCGTGGAAATACGGCTGCTGTGCTGTGTGTAGGTCATCTTCAGGTCCAAGGAACCGGAGAGCCTCGGGACTGATCACCCCTGCCTGTGGTGCTCTCTGCAGTCCCATCCCATACACACAGCTGGTGGGAGGAGGGAGGTGGGGAGGGAGCTCTTCCACAGCTGGGATGGGGAGGCCACTCTGGAGCCACCATCTTGCGATCAGATAGCTGGGGGATCCAGTCACGTACTAAAACCTCAAGAGGGAGAATACTTTGTGTATTAGGGCTTTAATTTTTTTCTTTTTTTGACACACAAATAATCTGTAATGACATAGTAAGGTCCTAACAATTAAATGTTGATAGTAATTACTGGGTGGGAGAAATCACTGCATGAATTTATGTGTAATTACAATGAACAGTCCTTATCATAGGTGTGGTCTGGGCCAGCTCCGGTATGTGGGGCAAAACACAAGTTGTGGGGAGCAGTGAAATGTTTCAGTGGTGATTTTGTTGTCTGAGTAATTATCTTAGACAGAGAGTGGAGGTTTTTTTTCACTGGGGTGGCTACAGACCCTCCTGCTTTCCTGGAGCCCTTCTATACACTGCCATGAACAAAACATCTGCCTTTTGTTCCTTTCTTAAAACCTAAGATGTGCTTTTCTCTCTGATACTGGTAATTTGCCCTCTTGACAATAAAGCCTCCCATACAGGTTTCTTTAGAAATGCCAAAGCGAGAGATTCACTGGGGTTTGCCTGGAGCCAGTTGCCGCTGCCCTTCTGTGGACAGCTTTGGAGCCTCCTAATGCCGTAGGATCAGCGTTTGTACAAAGAAGGTGGCCTGGAGCATAAAGATAGGGATACCGTGTCAGCATTTCCCATGTTCCCAGAGAAACTGGGGAAGAACGAGGGGGTCACAGGCACACGTGCATTCTCCTGGTGGCAAAGCTTCCTTTCCAGGGGGAGCAACGGCAAAGAGGGCCCTGAAAATGTGGAAGAGTGAACCTGCTGCTGCGGTTAAAGCAGGGCTGTGGCTCTTCGGTGGAAGTTGCTCCCAACAACCTTTGAGCCTCTCAGCCCTCCGTGCACAGTAAGCTTAAAAAAACCCCAGGCCTGCAGTGTTTCACAGCCTGCTGTCATGTCTTTCCCTCTCTCTGGGCCAAGCAAACTTGATGTGACTGTGTTAAGGTTGTTTACAAGCTAGAGCAGCTTCCAGTTGACTAGTTTTGCATGACGTTTATTTATAGAAAGCAGACGAGCTGGGGAAGGAGGGATGTATATGTTTTCTCCCAAGGGGAGGGGCTGTCCTGGTGGCTGCACGGCAACAACTGCAGTGTGACAGGAATTGCAGTAACACAACACCTATTTGAACAAAGGTGACGTAGAGGAGAGAAAATAGGGAAATGGAAGCGATCCAAGATCTTGGAGGACTCCAGCAGGCTCTGTAAAGAGTAAGTGAGTTAATCCATTGTCACTGGGTCCTTCGAAGGTAAAAGCCAAGCTGTTTCAAAGCTGGAAGCCAACAACTGATTTAAAAATCAGTTATTAAATAGCAATGTGTTGGTCTGCTCGGGACAGAGAGGGCTTTGATTTGTCTGGGCCTGGTGTCTCGTGCTGGTTCTCAGCCAAGCAGGTCCAGGAGGAGCTAAGCCTCCTTGAGGTGGGGGGGAAGAGAAGCAGAGAAACCTTCTATGGATAGATCCGTGAGAAAGGATCTGTGGCCTCTTCAGAGGAAATTCTGTGGGATTTTAGTCCAAGACTGTGACAGGTACTGCTCTGTTGCAGTTTAAGAGTAGGGATCAGTGCTCAGCTCCTCCATCAGGAGCTCCAGAGCTTGCACTGAAGTTTGGTCAATGCCCGGGCTCTCCGGCATCATCCTGCAGATGTCCTTGGCTGCTTCGGAGGGGCACAAGCTGCTCGAAAATAAAAAGGCAGCAGTTGCAGCTTTCAGCACAGGGCAAGTGGAGGGGACCGTCCTCCTTTATACAGTTACCTGCTGTCCTCTGAGGAGCCAGGACTAAGGAGACACCCCCGTTCTGTTCTCTCCTCCGTGCTGGGGATTCATGTCTCGCTTTGTTTAGTAGGCTGGTGCTTGTTTGGGAGGGCGTGCTTTGGGCGGAACGAGCTTGAGGTAGAATTGAGCCAGAGAGGAAGAGTGAGAATTGGACAGTCTTTTAGCCCAGTGACCAGAGTGCTCCCTGAGGGGGGATTAATGTCAGCTGAACAGTCTCTTCTCCGAGGACTTCCTAATGTCTCTCATGCAGGTGTTGGTTGTAAGGCTTAGGTGGTTCTTGTACAAATACTATAATCCAGAATTAGGCCCTGTGATTGCCCAGCTTGGGTAGTCCCAGCTCCGGGATGGCTCGTAGGAGTCCTGCTCTTTGGCTGTCAGACCGTGCTGGCTCCTCTCGATCCGAAACCTACTGGGACGGCTGCTCAGTGACACGAGCTCGTGCACAGCTGCAGAAACACCCAAAGCGGGGTGTCCCCTCACCGATCGACCACGCTGGCCCTCGAGGTCCGCTGGAACGAGGACTTGGCAGCTCTCTGGCTCTTTCCTAGGGTGAGGACTAGGGCCAGCGCTGCCCTGCAGCTGGCAGAGGCCCCAGCACAGGGTGGGTTGACTCTAGAGCTCGACACTTGGCTGGGCTCTGGTCCTGAGGGAGCAGTCCCTTTTTTAGTCATCTGGTGGCTTTGGGCTGACCTCTGCTGACAGAGCAGGCAAACGGCCACGGCAGAAGCCGTCGGAGGAAGAGTGTGGGGTCTGGGGCTTTGCTTCAGATGCCCCCCTTGTGTTGAAAGCTCAGCAGATCCGTGCCTGGTATATCCCTCGCCCAGGTCCTGCAGAATACCTGCCCCATTCCTGGCCTTTCTCCACCCCTTCTGTAATGCTCTGCTCAATGCTTTGGG